AAGAAAATCTACCAGTCGATGACAGGAAGCATCCTCTACCTGGCCCAGTGCACGCGATTCGACCTCTCCTACGCTGCCCGACAACTTTCCAAGGCCTGCGGCAAACCAGCGCAGGTGAACATGACAGCAGCCAAGCACGGGGTAATCTAGTTCTTCCTTTCGTCTACAAGAGAGGACAGTGTCGGCTAGCGGCGTTTACGGATTCATCCTTCGGAGCAAACCCCGACAACGGAAGATCTACCACGGGATATCTCTTCTTTCTGGCTGGAGGACTCATCAGCTACGGTGCGAAGACTCAAACTCTAACCGCGCAAAGCACGGTCGAAGCCGAGATTCAAGCACTTAGCTACTCAGCCAGAGAGGCGGTCTACATCTCAAATTTTATGACGGAACTCAACTTCAAGACCTTCGGATCGGTTCCCATCAACAGCGACAGCACCGGAGCGCTGACAGTGGCCGGGAATGCCATGCACTCTCAACGCACGAAGCACGTGGCCCTGAGGTACTTTTTCATCCGGGAGCTAGTACTACGGGGACAAATCACTCTTCACCACCGGCCCAGCGAGCACCAGTTGGCTGATATCGCGACCAAGTACCTCCCAAAGCACCGATTCGCCTCCATCATTCAGTCGATCAAGGACTTCTCGTGTTGATCGAAGATCTGTGAAGCTTCCTTCTATACCCGCCATACCATAAGGAATATATTTTCGATACGATGCCAACGGAGGGGTCGAGGTAGACAAGGATATGGTGATGCNCGTGTCAGGAAAATCGTGCGTCGAGACCATCAGTAGTCGGACACGGTTTGACCTTTGAATACGATTGCAGCAACTAGTCTGCGTAGCAGTAGAAAAGAATCCATCTCTCCGTGGCATGTATCCTCTTGTTCTAGAAATATTCCGGAAGCATGCTAGGTCAAGGTTGACCGGGACATCTACGTAGAACGTGTGTAGCTTCTGGAAGCCTTCTGGATTCTGAAACCTTCTGTAAGCTTCTGGAAGCGTTCTAGGCCTAGGTTGCAGTTGATACTCTTCTAGAATGTAGGAGGGCTTCCAGAAATCATTCTGGAAGCATTCTGGATCTTTCGTGTGATTGGCTTATTTGTCCGGTATTCGAGAAGAGTGGTGCAGCCCTAAGCTCNAGCATTCTGGATCTTTCGTGTGATTGGCTTATTTGTCCGGTATTCGAGAAGAGTGGTGCTGCCCTAAGCTCGCCCACCACTCTCACTCCTCTTCAGTACCAGCAACATCTGACTCGGGAGTCAGCGATTAATAGAAACATCTTGATATTTCTATTCCAAGTCTCTCGCGGTTGGAGCCGCACAGAGTGTGAACCTCTGAGGTAGGCTTCACAGCCTACCGGCATCTGCAGCATCGTACTGCTGCTAGTGCACAGCGAAATATACTCTGACAACCACTCCAACAGCGGCCAAATATGGCAACAATGTTTGCACAAGGTGGTCACAGTGCACGTAGTACGTAGTAGTAGGTTGTACCTTGTTGCTTTCGGTGTGTCTTGTGATGGATGTCGTATCCTCTTCGTGACCGGAGTTTGAAACCAGGCGGTCGGGCAATATCGACAGCACGACCGGGATGAATACCACACCGTGGAAAAACTGCAGAGAATAGGTGGCGTTACGAAGTGGGAGGGGCAAGAAAGACGAAACTAATGAAATAAGGGTGTCAAGTGTGCACAAGGGGATTGAGGAAGAAAAAGTGACGCTACGAAGCGGGGGGGGGAGAAAGACAAAACAAATGAGAAAACGGATGTCATGTGTGCCCACGGGAATTGACGAGGACGAGTCCAAAAATCGACCAGCAAAATCGAGGCGCCCTAAGAAAAACCCAATCATTGCACTTTGCATTCTCCATGTATCAGTCGCACGCCTCCGATTTCCATCAAGAACCAATATAACACCCTGTATGGACTTCCTCGAGTGTGATGACCCCGACGGGTGCGTCAAGCATATACAACCAGGGGCGTGTACGCTGGCGCCGAGATAGATGGGTTTGACACATCCATGCTTCTATCTTCCCGAAGGGAAACATGTGCTGACGTATTGCATGCTACCGGATTGAATAGATGGCAGCAACAAGGTCATGCTATAGACTATACGCGAAAACGAGTAAAACTTACCCCGAAAGAAATGATGACGAGGAACATATTGAAAAACACGCGGAAGATCACGTTGTTAGCGAACGCCAGGGGCATGATTCCCAGGAATGTTGTCGCTGCTCCCGCCATTACAGAGGGCCCGATCTCTCCCAGCGCTTCGGCGATTCGCGCGTCCTTTGGGATGCTGGGGTCCTGATATAATAGGGAGAGGGCCAACGATGACGATAGAGAGCAAAGCTTGGAGTGGGTGGGTGGCTGCTCCATGCCGTCCGTTAATCTTTGCAAGGCTCCTCGCAATACCGCACTAGAGCTTGGAAAGGGGTAGAAGAGTGGTGTGGCGTCCGTGGCCGTAGCGCTTGGATAAATGTCCGGGTTCGATTGGTGCCAGCGTGGAGAAAAGAGTTCACGTGTTCGGGTTCTTCTTGTCTGCCTTTGGACATCTGGTACAGTAGATCAGAGGGTCCGAAGTTGTCGGGGAGTAACTAAACGCTCCAGAGAGAGGCTACGTCTTTTCGTCATGTGAAAACGCTCACACCATCGCTGACTAGTTACACCACAGCAACGCTACGTGGCGCTGCCGGCCTAGACTAACCTATCATGTACCTGATGGAGGAAGTAGTGCACGATGTGGACCATGTAGTCCACCACCAACCCGACCGCCATGATCAGCTCTGAGAGGATGAAAGGCAGCAACGCACCAGATCCGAGACCGGCAGGCACACAGAGCAATACCCCAAAGAAGGTTGATATTAGTCTGCAGTCCAGACGTCGGAGAGGCCTCTTTAACGATTTCGTCGGTTCTCAACGTACCAGTACAGTAGTTGGCAAGGGACGAGTGAATTGAACACGTCGTGCGAGCGGGGTTGTTCGTATAAGCAGCAGCAACCATAGCATCTTCAACAACAACGGGGACGAACACGAAAACGGTAGGAGTACTCGCAACGACACCATCGGCACAAAAACACAAACAAGAGTCCACAGGCGAACACTTACCGATAGCAGTGATGCCGTTCATGTCCAAATTCCAGTGGTAGACGAAGCCCAGCAGCTCAACATCGATGATCACCTGGACGACGAAGAAAATCGAAACGCCCACACCGAGAACACGAAAACGATGAGCAACATTTCAGATATCAGCCTAGCGTTGAAGCTCAAATGTAGCTTACAGTAGTGAGTGTTATATCTGTCTAACCACGAAAGCTATGGGGCAGAAGACACACAACTATTCACCCTACCATTCCCAATGGCTTCACGAAAATGTTGTTCTTGTTGGTGGAGTGTCCGACGGGCGGCGAAAACACACAAGTAATCCAGACAGTGAGAAGAATATTTCGTTCGGTTTCACCCTCCACTCAGATGCCACTCAAGATCACCGCTGTAGTCAGGACGAATCCCTTCCCATGCCAACCACCAAGCCAGCTACCGTAGGTGACACAAGATATTACACACCCCGGACCGATTTTCAAAGCCCGATTACTCCACGACGAAGGTGTGGCCTAGTTCAAACGATGCGTTTTCGGAACGCGCACAACGAGACGGTTCTAAAGACACCTTTTGCGGTGCGGCGTGGATGCAATCGAGCTTCGCTGATCGAGGGTGTGTGATATCTTGGTGTCACCTACAGTATTACTACCTCCGATTACCCACCAACGTAAGACAGACGAGGAGGACGACGGTGACCTTGCCCAGAACGAACAGGCTCAGGACGAGCACCGCCAACAAGGCGAGGCCGAAGCTCGATAGCAGCTCGTTGTAGATTGCAAGGTACTGCTCCGCGAAGAGAAACATCTGTTGGAGTCAGCCGATGGTGACGTAGTGTGAAAGTTCGGTGCACGAAGTCTATGTTTTGTGGCTGCGGTCACCACCGTATATATTTTTGACAAACCTTGCTTACGCCGGGATCGGAACCGCTGACCCTGCGTGCTAGAAGGATACCAACTAGACTACCGGGGCAACCGGTGCTGTAGGAAAGAAGTGGACCCGAATTCTTCCCCCATCCTCGGGATATACGGTGGGATCCAAGCACCTGACAGGTTCGACTGGCCGTCACTCTTTCATTCCGTGCTTGACCCTACACTGCGGCGCACGGTGTACGACACACTCCATGGCAAAACTCGCTACACCCGCGTGAAAAGCACGTACATCTGAGTATGCGAACGCCTGAGGGTCGAGCGTTGATTGGTCGGCGACTTCTCTCTTATCCTCGAGGGTGTCAACTTTGTTATCCGTGTCGACGAGATTGATCAGGTACATCTCCGATCGACTAATCTGCGATACAGCGAGGGGCAGCACGCCCGATGCATCCAGGGGAGGAGGGAAGGGGGAGATTATCATTCGCAGGTCGGCTACCCGAATGGATGTTCCCATCACACAAGCAATGAGCGGCGGCTTTGCACGTCCACTTTTCCCTAGCACAAAAATAACGTCTAGGCGTATGAATCTACGGTGCCAAACGCTGCACACCTACAGGTCTGTCTGTACCCAACTCGTACCCGTTGTAGCTATCGTGGACGGCGATGGTCTCCAATGTTCAGATGTACACAGACTAAATACCAGGAGCTAGAAACACCAGAGCTTCTTTTTCACCCCCCCTTCGAAAGGTTCTCGATTTCATCGGCGAAAACAGTTCGGGAGCACCGGCGGCGGCGGCGGAGGCGGCGAACAGGCGACGACACGCTGGAAAGAGATCTACATCACAGAGCCCCGCCTCTCTGTTTTCCCGCCCAACGAAAACAGAAACTTGATCGGACAAGCTCTGCCGTAGTACTGTACCTCGATGAGCCCCCTCGTCGTCGAACACCACGTCTGCCAAGAATCTGGCGTTATCCTCGTCCTGCAGGAAGGCGGAGAGGGCGGCGTAGAAGGTATCCCGATCGTCGTACACCGGGTAGCTCCCGGACGTACCCACGTTTGCACTGTTGTTGGCAGAGTGGTACATGTGTCAGGAACAAAGGCTTCAGCAGGGGGGGTGTTTTGTGTTTTCGCCGACATCGGCGGCGGCAGCAAAATATGTAGCTATTGCAGGGGTGTTGATTTCAAGAGGTGAGGGCAGCGACGGGCTAGCGACCAAGTTGGGACGGTTTGAGGCACTCATCGATAGGGTGCAGCTGTCGACACTTCGAGAACCAAACCCCAAGGAACCACGACAACCGGTAGCAACGTATACCGCAAATTCATCGCTACTTGCGCACGAGCCATATCTTTCGATTCTTTGGTGTCGAAACCGACGCGTGTTAGCTTCCACTGGGGGTTGAGAGTAAGTTTCGTTGCTCTGGCCTCGGTATGCTTCCGCGTTAGTTTCCCAAGCCTCCGTGCCTTCATTATTAACTTCGTGAGCGGAACCAAAGGCCGTCCTGTCTAATGTCTGGGGTTCGAACCTCCCTTGAGCGTTTTGTCCTTAGAGGATCTTTTCTGTGCCCCTGCTGATGTATGAGGATATTGAAGTCTCGGACTCCGCAGAATATGCCGATGAATCTCTTGTGTACCTTGGCGCAAGACAGTGTTGATCACAGGGATGACAACCCTAGGGGGGCGTGTTCAGCAGGTGGAGGAAGTACTTGATGGTTGCACCCCGCTGACAAAGCCACGAACACGTGCCCCAGGGATGGCAACCCCAGGGGGGGTGCATTCGTCGCTTGAAGGAACGCTCGACGGACTCGGGCATGTACCTTTGTTTACAGGCACGATGGCCACTAGACCACCACTCAGCGCTGAGTAGTGGTCTTGTGGTCATCGTGCGTCTTCACTTGGAACTTTTATGGCAAGGCTTGCAGGTGGTGAGAATGGTGTTTTATCACTGCAGGACTCGGAAGCAGTAAATAAACACTTCACAAAGTCGGGATATCTCTCGAGTATGGGTGCCACGGTTGAATTGTATTATTGTTTTCGCAACGTCGTGTGCGACAAGCTAAAACCGGCAGAACCAAACACACAGCCCATGAGACACATGAGGTGTGGCGCGCACTTTTGGACTATGGCGCAGAAGAGTTACCGAAGCCGTGGCCACAAATCACCCGAGAGAGGAACAAACTGGCGCTTCCATACGGAACTATCAGAAAAGAGTGTTCGATGTTCCACACACACAGTACCTGCGTGACGCCATAGATGCCGGCGACAAGCAACCCTACCGAGCCGAGTAGCACCAGGACCTTCCCCTTGGCTGACAGCAGGAAAGGGGAGTACTCATCTTTCATGCACCTGCGACCCACGCCCAAAAAGACAACCAAGCACGCATTGAGGAAAGCAAGCTGGCATGACGGGCGGGGTGGGAGTGAGTGGGTGGTTGTACTGTGCCAACAACGTTATTGGTGTAAGCTGGAGCGAAAACAAACGTATACCCGGGGTGGGTTGTCGAACGGGTCGCTTGAAAATAGGCTCGGAATCCATGCCTTTGAAGCAGTGGCAGGAAACAGGTCAAGAACAAATGGGAAAACCCAACAGCGAAACTCGCCGAAGCTGCGTGCAACCGGCAGTGACAAGAAAGTCGAGAGAGACAGCGAATAGGACGGGCAGCATGGCGAAGTAAAGACAATAATCATGATGGGGTTAGGGAAAGAAGCGAAAATCCGAGCACCTTCCGATCAACGACAGCTGGTGCACCTCCGCTTTGCGGTCGAGTGCCCTTCGGCTTTTGTTTACGCTCTCAACGTTGCTATCAGGCAGGGTGACACCTCTTTGGATACCTTCCTAAACCGTGAGGGTTTTCGAGAGATGATGGGAAGAGGGAAGCCAAGGAAAACGACACAATGAAGGGAGGTCAGAACGCTTCTTGTTGCTCAATGTATGTCGTATATTATGGGACGACGGGAAGAAAAGAAAGCAGCCACTGTGTGAAGTTCCTTCTTCTTGTGTGACCCGAGTCGACATGCCATACTATATAGTACATAGGTGTGTGCGGAGATTGACGCCAGAAAAGACGTGACGAAAACGCACAAAACACACGATTAGGGCTGCGACAACCGTCTTCAAGCTGGAACGGGACGAGTTAGCGCGAAAGAAATTGCAACAGCAGTTCTTGAGCAAATACGTCGACACCCCCTATGTGTAAACCAGTGGCAGAGTCACTTGCATGGTGATGAGATACACAGCGCGCCAGCCAGGGGGTACAACGGATGAGATCGAGAATCTCCCACCCACCCCCCGAAACGGGCCTTCACGTATAAGGGTACATGGATGATAATGGACCTTCTTATTCTGTACATCTTTGTTAACGTTTGTCTTGAGATGATATGGCAGGGCCACCTACCTGGTGATGCCGCTCTTGCTCCTGGAGATACTTCTTGCTGGTGAAGCAGCAGCACGAGTCGATCTTGCCGGCCTTCTGACGGTTGGCGTCCATGGTCAGAAGCGCCACGAAAGCTGTCATCTAGACAACAAGAAGTAGGGGCACGAGCTAAGTGTACAGGATTTGTCTGGAGGTTCCACGAAGACCTTCGTCCTAATAACCACGTAAAGCGCCATGTCACCGAAAGAAGCACGTGTGCGTCAGGGACTATACAACAACGGGGGCAGAGGTTGCGCGCTGTGTTCGTTCATGGACGAAAGAACCGATGCTCTGTACAAGCACGTGTGCTTTGTGGCATACATCGCAAGACCTAGCCTACTTCTTGCTCCCGGTATGAAAAACAATACAGTGTAGCCGAAAAGAGCAAGGAGGGAAAAACTTGTACGTATCAATGGGGATTGAGTATCCTATGCGACAGATGTGTGACCCATACCACGATTATTCTTGCTTTCCGGGAGGAAGAAGTCAAATAAGATGGCAGTGCCGGCGTAGAGGCAGAAATACTCCACAGCCGGAAGTGACGACACCCTGCCCAGCATGAAGGCGAAGAAGTTCGTCAGCGACGTGTCTGCAACGAAAATGGGCGGGAAGGTGGCTCCAATTCATGAGCAGGTCCAACAACAACCACGTATCGTTCGAGGGCGCACAAGGGGGCCGTCCATACGCGGCTTTGACGTATTGGTAACGACAACCGTAAACCAAGCACTGCTAATACTAATTGATTGTCTAGGGAACACATGCGAAGGCGGGATTGCTCTGGACCCGAAGTACACTCGCTTAGGTATGTTGCTGAACGACGCAGCGCCTGTTTCTAGTGTGCAACATCAAGGACGGTCGCACCCACCGTTGGAAAAACTACACGAGATCGTTGGACAAAACCACATGCTAATCTGCATACAAACAATATTGCCATTGTACGGTGACGGACACCCCGCAGCGCTTTACTCCAAAGGCGACCCTTTCCTCCATGGTGAGCGAGGGGTCAGTGTGGTCGTACGCCGCGACGATAGATAACAATCTGCAGGCAGAGGTAGGGCAGGGGCGATGGAGAAAGAGAGAGAGAGAGAGAGAGAGAGAGAGAGAGAGAGAGAGAGAGA